TCTGACACTGCAGTGACATGCCCATGTTTTGGACTGCATTTGAGGGCCACATCCACATCAACATAACAGGTTTGGGTCCAGAGAGCATTGTTTAAACACCAGTGCTGATCATGCTAATTCCTGTATAACTACAGTCTACTAATCTTCTGACGGACGCTTTCAGAAGGATAATGTGTTTTCATAATGGGGGTTTTCAGTGGTTTAATGTTTACATGACAGGGGTCAGAAACACAATGTACTTGAGCAGAAAACATTTTTTATTGTCCAGGAAGGAGAATGAAAATACCCAGGATTGGTGGAAGTTGAACATTAGATCAAAATCCAAGTGTTATCAAGCCAAGCCTTTTTTTGTTCCTAGTAAACTTGTTATGTCTTAAACATGCCACTGGATCCTCAAACAAAAGAGCACAGGCGTCGTTTATGATCAGTATGAATCAACATTTTACCACTGACATGTTCACTGATTGTGAAACGTGACAGCAGAGATGACACACTGTGTGTAAAATTCCAAAAGTGAAAATCCTCTCCTTATGAATTAATGCATGTGTAAAGTGTAGTAAATTTAAATGTCATTTGATAAACAAAGAGGTGTTTAGGAGGGTTATAGAGTTAGTTATGTACCCATTTGGTGGTTACATGTTTTGATATTTACATGTTTGCACATTTGAATGTTCACACCTGCACTTTCAAACCAGTAATAAGTATGTGTTGAATGTACCTCGTTGTTTTCCCTGCATTTGTCCGAATATAGGATTTCCTGGCTTCTGAGTGGCCAGTGAAGTCTCATGAGGGCCGGATACAGGAAGTGTTTTTGTTGTTGAGGTGTGCGGTTTGGCCTGTCAGCGGTGGTTGGATGGGAAACACACTCAAATCAAAACAATCTTGTTGTTTTGATTTGCTACATAAATAAATTTGAATTGAATTACATTAAATTACAAACTCTAACTCCTGGAAAACTGAAATTGCTATTTTAAAGGCTTTTAACATTTAAAGTATTTTATAATACAAAGAATGGTGGATTTTCCCTTCAGTTGAACAAG